AATACTTGACTTGGTACAACCTGACCTCTAACTGTGATCTCGGTAATGATATCCATCCTAGATAAAATGACATACTGTGAAAGGGATATGCTAGAGTAGCTTCCTTTTGCTTCTAAAAAGAACATTTGAGGGCCTGGGGAGGTAATTCAGAAGATAAGAGATTGCTCTGCAAGTATGAGGCCCTGAATGCTCTCCCTAGTACCCATGGTAAAAACAAGCAAGCAAGCAAAAAGCAAAGCTAGTTATGGTAGCCTATATTTGTAATCCCAGCTCCGGGATACTAAGACAACAGTTCCCTGGGGCTTGCTGGTCAGTCAGCCTAACCTAAGCAGCAGGCCTCAGGTCCAAGTGAGCCAAAAACCAAGGTGGCGGCTCCTAAAGAATGACAGCTGAGGTTGACCTCTGGTCACCAGACACACAAACACACGCAAGAACATTTCTGAGGATGACACTCTGAGGTTGTCCTCTGGCCTCCATGTGTACCAGTACAAATGCAGAGAGAGACAGAGAAACAGACAGATAGACATATACACACAGAGAGACAGGAACATACAGAGAGAGAGAGAGAGAGAGAGAGAGAGAGAGAGACAGAGAGAGAGACATACAGAGAGAGAGACATACAGAGAGAGACATACAGAGAGAGAGACATACAGAGAGAGAGACAGAGACACAGAGATAGATAGATAGATAGATAGATAGATAGATAGATAGATAGATAGATAGATAGATGGGGAGGGAGAGAATGATCACTGGGGATTGCTAACCTGCCAATATTTACACTGAATCTTATTTTATAGGCGTGGTGCTGCACGCCTTCTATCCCAGGACTTGGAAGCAGAGGCAGATGGGTCTCTGTGAGTTTGGGGCCAACCTGGTCTACAAAACAAGTTCCAAAACAGCCAGGGCTGTTACACAGAAACTGTGTCTCAAACAAACAAATAAACAATCAAGCAAACACCCAAAACAATTGTGTGGTGTCTTCCTTTATTTATGATCTATCATGTATATTTTTTCCACTGGTTATATTTTCATTTTTCATATATGGTATACTGCTTATAAAACCATTTGTAACCAAAAAAAAAAAACATTTGTAACTTTTCTTGTTGTAATTTTTTTAAGTTTATTTTGATGTGTGTGGGTATTTTTCCTGTATATGTATCTATGCTCTACCTGTGTGCCTGGTGCATGTGAGGCCAAAGTATTGGAGCCCCTGTGACTGGAGTCCCACAGCCAGTTGTAAGTTGGTGGGTGGGTTCTGGGAATCAAACCCAGGTCCCCTAGAAGGACAGCCAGTGCTCCTACCCACTGAGCCATCTTTCCAGCTCCATTGTTTCAGTCTTGAGTATCATTTCTTACTATAATTTGTCAGGCTTAAGTCTGAGTTAGTAGTTAGGAAACCATTTTTGCCCCAGATAGTTGAGTTACTTAGCTAGCTAGCTTCTATTTCTCTTTAAAGGAGGATTGTGGTTAAAATTCTCCCACAGGAAAATAGAGGATTACGTCCTGGGACTGGCTTTACTGTAAGCAGGTGAGAAGACTCGGGTGGAGATGAGTTATGCATCTTGTTTGTGTCTAGGACAGCTTCATCTGTTCTGCAACCAAGAGCATCTCTCAGCCCAGCACATTTCAAAGGCTTTGACTTTGTCCAGGTAAAGGGTACGCGTGAAGATGATATCCACCCAAACAATTACAGCCGAACAGGCTAGCAAAAAAATTATCTTGCCTGTTGAAATGCTTTTCCAGTAGCTCCAGGGATAGAGAGATAGCTCAGTCAGAAAACTGCTTGCCTTATAAGTGGCAGGACCTGAGCACCCAAGCAAACATGTTAGACATGATGGCACACACTTGAAATCCTAGTGCAGAGAGTGGGGCTTGGTAGCCGATGGGAGAGGGTAAGAATATTTGGGGCTTACTAGGCAGCCACCCCAGCATAATTGATCCATCTCAGAAGAGAGAGACAGCATTTCTAAGGATGACACTTTGAGGTTGTCCTCTGGCCTCCATGTGTACCTGTATAAATACTCCCCACCCCCACCTCCACCCCACCCCCACTCACAAACATACATGCGCACACTCATGAGAAAAGGTACTTGTTCTCCATGGTGAACTTACATCTAAGGATACTCAGATGTATCTTACTTACATCTAAGGTTCAGGCACACGTGGTGTTAACCTAACGCCACTTTGTGAACTTCAAGTTAATTCGGTGTCTCTACTCTAAAAATATTTATATCATTAAGAATACTAAAAGACATAGTAAACTATGTAAATATAAATTTTAGAGGCTTATGTTTCTTCCAAATGAGCATCCACCAGGTATAGAGTACCGAGGAGAGCCATGTGTCTTTGTAGCTATATCATCTCAGGGGCACTTTCTGTGGGAAAGGAAGGTTCTTTAGCTTTGTCTAGAGAAAGTTGTTCAGAGTGCTCAGAGGTTCTAGGACTTGAGTGTTCTAGTCAAGAATGATGTCTGCTTCGTGGAGTTCCCTAAGACGTTAATGTGGGATCAGCCCAGAATGAATCAGAGCACGGGTATGTAGCCACTTGCTGAACCACACTAGCTGTCAGGCCTGTGAGGCTTGATTGTAGTTTGTTGGAATGTGAAAACCGAGTCACTCAAAATAGACCAGAGGTTTATTAGCCCTAGTGAAGCATGGGGTATAATCAGTGAGCAGCAGTTGGCAGTCAGTTGGCTTCTGGAATGGCAGTTTCTCATAATATAAAAATAAATGACACTTTAAGTGATTACCTCAGTTCTGTGGGCATTTTAGGAGTGGCATAGAAATACAAGAAAAGTTTGGTGAGGCAATATGTCTGTCACTCTATTGAATGACAGAGTCACTGTTGCTCATTCTGGCCTGGAACTCTCTTTGTAATACAGGCTGACTTCTAGTTTGTGGCAGTTTTTCTATTGAAGCCTGCTGAATGCTGGGATTATGGGAGTGAACTACCATACCCAGCTGGTGATTCAAGTGTTTATTTAACAAGGAAAAGAAAGCCTGACTGTCTCCCAGTTCAAACAAATTCTTGTTCACAAGGCCTTCAGAACAAATCCCAATCCGCCCGGCCCTCTTTTATGGACATTTTCCTGTCCCAAGCCTGTCACTTACTTATCTCAGGATTTTACTGTCTACCTTTACTCAGCCACTTTCCAACATGGTCCAGAAAAGGCACAAATAGCAGTTTTGTATTGATGGTAGGGATTACAATTCAGAATCCTTCCTCTGCTGGTGCGTACGTGATATAAAGTACTCATGATTACATTTCCTGAAGACCTTTTCTGTTTCCTGTGGCCACCATGAAAAGAAGAAAGAGCAAGAGTCTACTAATGAAAAAGAAGATGATGTGATGTGTGCAGTTAGGAGGTGGGGCCAAGAGGCCCAGTGTGACGCTTCTTCACCTCCTCACGCTCCCCTCGTCCAGTTGGATGAGCACATCCGGCTCCCAACTCAACTGCAACTGGGTTTGAGTTTTTACTGGTTAAAAGCTGTGGTAAGAAAATACTAAGGAGTAAGAGGAACCAGTTTGATCAAGGGCAGCAGTTTTCTGACTTTTCCAGTGAAGTGCATCGAACAGTCTAGTAGGAGGTGACAGCTGCCTGGTTTGAGGACATGTCTCAAAGTGACTTTAGTGCAAACTTAAAATCCTTTTATTTTAATGTCCACTTAAAAGTCACAGGAATGACCTGGGGGTGCAGCTCAGTAGTTAGGAGTGTTTGTCTGGCACAAGAAAGCCCTGGGTTTGATCCCTAGCACTGAGTAAAACAAGAGCTGGTAGCGGGCACCTATCATCTCAGTGCCTGAGATGTAGTAACAAGAGGATCACAAGTTTAAAGTTATCCTCGGCTACTCAGTGAGGTCAAGGGCAGCCTAGAGTATATGACACTGTCTCAAAAAAAAATTACAAAAGTTGTTTATGTTCTTATCTATAATGCTTGTGTGTATGTGTGTGTTCTTATCTGGGGTGTGTGTGTGTGTGTGTGTGTGTGTGTGTGTGTGAGAGAGAGAGAGAGAGAGAGAGAGAGAGAGAGAGAAAGAGAGAGAGAGAGAGAGAGAGAGAGAGAGAGAGAGAGAGAGAGAGAGGTGCCCTCTGCCCTTTACTGTGTTCCACTTACTGCTTGGGAATATAGTGAATAAGAAGCAGGGCTGACACCGGGCAGTGGTGGCGCACACCTTTAATCCCAGCACTTGGGAGGCAGAGGCAGGTGGATTTCTGAGTTCAAGGACAGCCAGGGCTACACAGAGAAACCCTGTCTTGAAAAAACAAAAACAAAACAAAAGAAGCATGGCTGGCTTGGGCTTGGTTTCCAACATAAAAGGCTTTTGACTTTGGGCTGGAGAAATGAGTCAGTGGTAAAGAGCACTTTCTACTCTTCCAGAGGACCCGGGTTCAATTCCTAGCACTTTCATGACAGCTCACAACCACCTGTCATTCCAGTCTCAGAGGATCCAATGCCCCTCTGCCTCCACCATCACCATACATGCACATGGTTACAGGCAGATAGGTAGGCAAAGACATCCGTACATGTGAGAACTAAAAATATATGTATTTGTGGTTGTAGGTGAGTGTTCTCATCTTTTGTGTATATGTTATCATTATTCAGAAATGAATCTTTTGTTGCTTTTTTGAAACAGGGTTTCACTGTGTAGACCAGGTTGGCCTCAAACTCAGAGATCCGCCTGCCTTAGCTTCCCTAGCACCGGGATTAAAGGTGTGCAGCACCACTGCCTGGCTCAGAAATGAATCTTAATGGGATGCCCTCCTAAAACGACAAATATTCATAATATACTATGTAAGTGTGAGGGTTTGAGTTTTTATAACAGTAATACTCTCAGGGTGGAACTTAATGTTGAAGTGAAAAATAAATAGGGGATAGAAGGCTAGGATGGAGGACAGGAGATGCTTTTTTCTTTTGCTTTTATTTTTATTTATTTATTTTTTGATCTGTATGATCAGGATCAGGCATAACAAACTTAACCAACCATTTGGTATGATTTCAGGAGAGAGCACTGGCAGTTGCTGGGTAATTTGAAGACTACTGTGGAGGGTTTGGTGTCAGCCAACTGCCCCAATGTCTGGTCCAAGTATGGTGGCCTGGAGCGGCTTTGCAGGGACATGCAGAACATCCTGTATCATGGGCTCATCCATGACCAGGTATGTAGAACTCATCCTCTCCCCCTCTCTCTGTATCCAGAACATGTCACTTAGTGCCTGGTGTGCCATAGAAGTCAGAGTAATGAGTAAACTGCTGGGGTCAGGCAGCACATCAGCAAGAGGTTAGATCAGTTTGTTTCCTGTTGATTCTAAAACAAAGATGAAACTGTTGGCTAGTTATAGATTTGTTATCTTTCAGCTCTTGAGGTCAGAATTCTCAAGTAAGTTTCATTAAGCTCAAGCCATGGTGTCTGCCATGCTGTACTTCTCTAGGAAATTCTAAATAGTTCTTTCTTAATTTCTCCTCCTCTTCCTCTTCTTCCTCTTCTTCCTCCTCTTCCTCCTCCTCTTCCTCCTCCTTCTCCTCTTCCTGATGTTTTGTTTATTTCTTTGTTTGTTTCAAGACTGGGTTTCTCTGCATAACCCTGACTGTCCTGGAACTTGATCTGTAGACCAGGCTGACCTTGAACTGCAGAGATCTGCCTGCTTCTGCCTCCTGAGTGTTAGGATTAAAGACCTGGGCCACTATCGCCAGACTAAAAATTTCTCCTTTCTTGTCTTTTTAGCTTCCAAGCTATGTCCCTTGTATTCTTTGGCTGTTGGCCCCCACTTTTCAAAACCCAGTAGCATAATGTCTTGAAATTTATTTCTGCTTTTATATCACTTTTCCTTTCTGTGAGCTCTTTCTTAAGGACCCTTAACATTGATCCTATCATGATGGTCCATCCCTCTAGAGTACTAAGTCAGTACCATCGGAAAGTCCTTTCTTCCATAAAAAGCAACAATCATGAGTCATTCCCTTGATTCTAGGGCCTAGAACATAGCATCGGCTTTGTTTTTGTTTTTGTTTGTTTGTTCTGTTGTTCTTTTTGAGACAGAATCTCATTGTGTACCACTGGCCGGCCTGGAACTCACAGAGATCTGCCTGCTTCTCCTCACTAAGTGCTGCTGGGATTAAGGTGTGTGTCACAGAGCCTGGCTTTTTTTTTTTTTTTTTTTTTTTTTTTTTTAGTTAGAGTGACTATTTTTAAATTCTTTATTTATTTATATTTATGGTAATTTGCCTGAATGTTTATCTGTATGCTGCCTGATGCCTGGTGCCTCAGAGATCAGAGGAGAGCATCAGATCCCCTGGGACTAGAGTTAACAGACGCTTGTAACTGGGTGCTAGAATTAAATTCATGTCCTCTGGAAGAAAGCCAGTACTCTTAACAACTGAGCCATCTCTCCAGCCCCTAGAAACCATTTTATCAACCATAGTCATAGTCTCATCTGTACAAGTAAGGGTGATAGTATTTACGTTATAAAGAAAATCCATAGAACAATAAATAAATTTGTCTTGCATAGCTTATGACATATAACCAGTGAGGTGCTCAGCATGTGTCACCACACCTAACAACCTGAGTCTGATTTCTGGGACACACTTGACAGAAGAAGAGAACTAACTGCCAGTTGTCTCTGACCTCTACTACGTAGACACCACAGCATGTGTGCATAAACATACAAAATTAATTAATAAAAACTTGAAGTAATTAATTGTTTTCCTATTGCATGTTGTCCTGTGGTATATATAATTAAGAACCTTGAAAACAGCTTAATTCATTGAAATCTTAATATCTTTCTTACCACTGGTGATCTTGCAGTGCTGTTTAAGAAAATGCCATCCCTTTAATCTCAGCACTCAGGAGGCAGAGGCAGTGTGATCTCTGTGAGTTCCTGGCTATCCTGGTCTACAGAATGAGTTCCAGGACAGCCAGAGCTACACAGAGAGACCTTATCTCAAAAAACAAACAAACAAACAAACAAAAACAAAAAACAAAGAAGAAAATGGCATCCATGTTATTTAATTCAAGGACTGTTTCTCCCTTGATTAATAAATGCACTATTGTTGGCCACCATCATTTCTTGGTTCGTATGGTATTAACTTCTGATGCCACAAGAAGCATTGTCCTGAGTCTGTGACCATTCTTCAGTTTCTATTCCTGAATTTCTTCTTGGATTAAACATTTTTTTTAAAAAATGGCATGTATATGTGTATGTATATATGTATGTATTTATGTACATGTATGTGAAGGTCAGAGGGCAGCTTGCAGAACTCAGGTCTGTCCTTTCGCCATGTGGGTCCTAGGGATGGAACTCAGGGCATTAGACGTGGCCAGTGCCCTCACTTGCTGAGCTAGTTCCCTCACTCATTACAGGGTTCTAAAGATGGAGTCATTGTGTGTACTCTTGTGTCCTCCCTCTGTTTCCTTGAAGCAGTCTATGACACTCAGCTCAGACCTCAGTGCTTAGCTCCAGATCTGAACCCACTCTCCTTCATACTACCATGTGGCCGTCTGCCCCACCCAACAAGCAGGATGTGACTAAGGATATTCTCTCTCTCTGGAGACTGCTTTCCATCCTAGTGTTCTTTATGCTAATTTGTAGACCTGAACTACCCAGTGTTCCATTCACAAGGTTGGGATTCCTGCCAGAATGTTTTATTAAAAACAAAGTGCAAATTTCCCAAGCTAGTGACCAAAATAGCTACCAGATTAGTGTGCTGTCATTCAGTGGTTAAAGTGCTTGTGCCTTGATAACAGAAGTTCTTTTCTTGGCCCTGTTACTAATTTTACATTGTCACATAGTAACGTAAGCAGTTAGATGATAGTCTCACCATCTGGTCTGCAAAGGGGGAAATGTTGGTGAGACTCTCAAGTAAAACAAGCTTGCAGATGCAGAATGGCGTTAGCATCTCTTGTTAAGAGTTCTTAAAAACCATAGCATGAAAGCTATCCTACAAAAGCACCCGTCCTTCAGAATGAAGCATGTTAAGGGATGTGTTTGGGCACTTACAACACTAGCATCAGTAGGTGTGAGCAGAGAGAACCACCTGCCGTGCAGACACACATGCCAAATGTACATCACACAGTACACAGAGGCTCCAGAAGGAAAAACTCTGACACAGAAGCTCCATGTCAGTTTTATTGCAGCCCTGTGCCTTGTTAAAGTCTAAGAGTTAAATTCTGGTGTCAGACTTGTTTTGCCCCTGTCATTTCCTTCCAGAAAGTTTAGTACTTTCAAAGGTTCAGGCTGCTGTATCATCAGGAAGCTGGGTGCTGTGCCCTTGGAAAGAGGAAGGGACACAATGATTCCTGTTGGTCCTTTCTCCTCTTTGTTTTCAAAAGGATGTGCTATGGATGTGAGCTGTGTTTTGTTTTAACCACTCAGGGCCCCTGGGAAGCTGTAATGGAATCTTAGCGGGATCTCATTGTTGTCAGCCCATCAGGGACACCTTTTATGGTGCCTATAAGGCCAGGTGTATTGATAACATCTCTGTTCTGCTGCTCAGGAATGTGGAGACAGTTCCTGAGATGGCTCAGCTGAGTAAAAGTGAAAGGGCCCCTCCCCTAGCACAAGAAACAGCTTAGCAGTGTAGATGGCCCAATTAAAATGGTTTATTGTTATGTATATATTATATGTATGTATGTGCACCATATGTGTGCCTAGTGCCCATGGAAGCCAGAAGAGGGCATTGGATGCCCTGGAACTGCAGTTACAGGCAGCTGTGGGCCACATGTGGGTGCTGGGAACTGTCCTCTGGGAGAGCAGCCTGCACTCTTAACCTCAGAGCCGTATCTCTCCAGCCTAAGGTAGCCTGATTTTGTCGTCTTCCCCAGCCTCCAGCCCCAGACAGAATTTCTATGTATGTAGCCCTGGTTATCCTGGATCTCAATCTGTAGACTAGGCTGGCCTCTGCTTCCCAAATTCTAGGATTAAAGTTGTATGACACTGTGCCCAACTCATAATATATTCCTTATTTGTTCAAACTTTAACATATGCCATAAAGACTCAGAAAAATAACTCTCACCCATAAACTTAATACCAAGTAATAATATCACTGTTGAGCATTCTTTTGGATGTTCTTTATTTTCTGTATATTTAAATTTTTATATTTAAAAGGTAATCTTATGCCTTTTAAAATAGGATTGTACCATATGTGTCACTTAATTTTTGACTATATAATACACTTTACATGGTTACATGGCTAAAGAATATTTATTTATTTATTTTTAAGAATTTAAGAGTATAAAAAAATATATAGTGAAAAGTCTCTTGTTATCTTCTGGTCCTGTAAGTTACTACTTTTTACTAGCTTCCTTCCAGAGAGTGTGTACTTATGAAAGTAATATGAATAACTTCTTTCTATTTGTCCCCATTTTTTGCTTTTGTTTTGTATTTTTGAGACAGCGTCTTGAAACATAGCCCAGGCTAACCTTCAACTTGAGATCGTCCTGCTCTCTCTCCTGTGTGCATTTACAGGCGTGGGACACCATGCTCAGCTCCTGGTTTTTATATTAAATATGTATACACATATATTTTAAAATATATATACACATATAAATTATAAAAACAGCTAATGGGCCAACATGATGTCTCAGTGAGTGCGCGCTGCCAAGTCTGACCACTTGAGGGACCAGCGAGGTAGAAGCAGGGAACCAACTGCCACCAGTTACCCTTGGATCCTCTGTGTGTGTGCGCGCGCGCTCACACATATATATTATAGTTGTGATTTGGGGTCAGCTACAAGGTGTGTTAAGTGAAAAGGGCAAAGTGTAAAATAGTGATTATAATATGCTAATAACATAGAAATCTCCAGAGAAGACTGATTTGTCTTCTTTAAGCAGCTATTGATTATCTGTAGCTCTTCTAGGGGTCAGGCCCTGTGAAATTTTCCCCTCCACTTTGACATTTCAACTGATGCTGTCACTGTGCAGCTCTTATTTAGGCAATCCTATTGTTAAGGTTTCATAGTGCAGCTTCCCTGTCACATGTGCCCCAGCAGGCATCTTAGTCTTATGGCTCTTCTTACAGTTGTGTCCCCTGAGCCTTAGATGTAAGGATGGCATTGTAGATCATATAATCTTTTTACAAAGATTCTTACGTTTACCTATTTATTGTGGGTGGTGTGCACTCAGAGTTGGTTCTCTCTCTCCTCCATATTGGTTCTGGGAATCAAACTCAGGTTGGCAGTCTTGGTAGCAGGTGTCTTTACCCACTCACTGAGCCATCCTGTTGGCTGGCATACAATCTCTTTTTTTTTTTCTTTTTTTTGGTTTTTGAGACAGGGTTTCTCTGTGTAGCCCTGGCTGTCCTGGAACTCACTCTGTAGATCAGGCTGGCCTCGAACTCAGAAATCCGCCTGCCTCTGCCTCCCAAGTGCTGGGATTAAAGGCGTGCGCCACCACTGCCCGGCTTTTTTCTTTTTCTTTTTCTTTTTCTCTCTCTTTTTTTTTTTCTTTTGTACAGTCTCTTTAATGTGCTTGTAGATTCAGGTTGTTAGTGCTGTGTTGACAAGCTATGTATTTATGTTCATTGGGGATTTTGGCCAACTTTGTTTGTTTGTTTGTTTTTGTTCTATCTTTGTCTGGCTTTATATCACAGCTTTTTAGAGGCTTGGTAATTTGTTTTGGAGCCATCTGGTCCTGAGCTCTGTTGTATTGGGACATGTTTTGACAGTGATTTTAAAGTATCATTCATTGCTCTGTTCAGGTTTTCTGTCTTCTCAGTTCAGTTTTGGTAGATTAAAGGAATCCCGTGGAGCCGCCTGTCTCTCTGCCTCACCAGCACTGGATTACAGTGAGCGCCACCTCACCTGGGTTCAGGAGATTGAACCCAGGTCCTTGTGAGGGAGCACTCTACTGGCTCAAATTTAACTATTGTTATATGTTTTCCAATGAATTGCCATATAATTGTTTATAGTGGTCCCTACCATTGACCTGATCTGACCCCTCTCCCCAATCCTTGGGAATAGAACCCAGAGCTTTGGTTTTTTAACAACTAGCTGGATTAGTTTTAAGAATTACCTTGTAGGAAACTGAACAGTGCAGAGAAAAGGAGAAGAAGGCAGGTAACCCTCAGGTCATATGCTTGCAGTATCTATTCAGGAGAACGGTTTAGGGCTCAGCCAGTAGAGTGCTCCCTCACAAGGACCTGGGTTCAATCTCCAGAACCAGATGAGGTGGCACTCACTGTAATCCAGTGCTGGTGAGGCAGAGAGACAGGCCGCTCCTTAAGAGTCACAGGCCAGCCAGTCAGGCCAGCACACCGAGGAGTTCTACTGAGAGACTGTCTCAAAAATAAGGGGAAAGGTGCTCCTGAGGATCCTCACCCAAGCTTGATCTCTGACTTCTGTGAACATGTGAACACATGCACCCATACACACAAAAACAATTCAAATAATTTTTAAAGAATAAGTGTGTACATTCCTTTGATTGCTGTTGGCAGCCTTTGTGGAAACCAGGCTATTCTCATCCTCTCCCTCTCCCCTCTTCCTTCCCCACCTTCTGTTCTGTTTTCTTATTTTTGGAAATAAGGTCTTACTATATAGCTCAGGCTGGCCTTGCACTCAAGATCTTCTGCCTCCACCTCTCAAGAGTTGATATTACAGAGCTGGGCTGCTGGGTCCAGCTTTTGTCTCCCCCAACCATCTCTCTCAACAGCCAAGTGGGGCTTTGTCTGGGTGGGTAATCTACTCACACTGCTGTCTGTTTGCCAGGTATGTTGCCGCCAGGCTGATTACTGGCAGTTTGTGAAAGACATTCGCTGGCTCAGTCCACACTCAGCCCTTCATGTTGAGAAGGTAAGAATGAAAGGGAAGCTGGCTCACTGGGGTGGATGCAAGTCTTCTTGAGTATTCTGTTGGAAGAGTCTTTTCTCCCTGAGGTAGTTGTCACTGACTGAGAGAGGAAGCTTAACCAACCAAGCAGCCTTACAAGTTCATCACTCCAGGGTGCTTTCTCATCTCCTGGGAAAGAGGGAAAGAGTTTAATGAAACTCTTAAAAATCACATTTTTAATCCCAGAGCTTGGTAGGCAGAGGCAGGTGAATCTCTGTGAGTTCAGGGACAGCCTGATCTTCAGAGCAAGTTAAGACAGTCAAGCCTACACAGAGAGACCCTTTCTCAAAACAACAACAGTCATACAAACAAAAAAATCTAGGACCAGTGGCAGGAAGTTGAGTGCAGAAAGGTGCATGAGGCAGAAAGGAGAGCAGTTTCTGGAGTCCAGAGTCCAGTGCTCTGAGTGCCGCCATACGAGCTTTGGCTTGCTCTGGATTCTCGAGCCTCGAGCTCCACATAGTGCCCCATGTTTACAGTTAGTGAAATCGTCCAACAAAGTTGCACAGCTGGCTCTAGAATAATCAGTGACCATTTTATGTATGCACTTAACTTTTTATTATAGAAAAATTTAAAGGCATCTAAATTAGGTGAATGAAATGACTCTGAAACATCCATCCATCGTCCCTCTTTATCTCTCTTTGTATGGCCTGTTTTGTTTCATGTGCACCCCAGCTGTTGGATTTATTGCTAAGATGAGGTCAAGAAGTATACTTTTTTTCTAAATATTCAGAGAACAAAGCCACAGGGTTTCATACTAGTCTTCTGTGTTTGTGAAAAGGCCAGGACCTACTATTTTCTTTTACCTCCTCATCTTTCCTTCCTTCCTTCTCTCCTTCCTTTCTTCCTTGCTCCCTCTATCTCTCCCTTCCTTCCTCCTCCTTTCATTCCATTCATTCATTCATTCATTCATTCATTGTATTCTGTCTGCTGAGGTAGAGTTTAACTAGGTAGCCCAGGCTGCCCTTGATTTAACAGGCATGTGCTGCCGCACCTAAGATGTGGTGCTGTAGACATTGCTACTGATGTACTCTGTGGTGCCCATTCTGGCTATGAGACCTTGTTCTTAGAAACACTGAAGGAGGAGAAGGTTCCAGACAGAGGTTGTTACAACTAGAACTCTTAAGAGAACCTTGAGGCTGGATGGCTCAGTGGTTAAGAGCACTGGCTTGCCGCAGTCTGCAGGGCGGTGGACTGGGACCAGGGGACCACCTGAAAGAGAGAATGGGGGACAAGGGCACGCAGGAAACGGACAGCAAGTCTGGAAGTCCGATCAAGCTGTCAAATTTTAATTTTTCCATATGGGGTTATAAACACATAGAAGCAGAATGTGGGGAAGGGGATGACATAGGGTCTTCTTTGTTCCTGGAGAGTGCAGGTATTCTCAGGAACAGGATATTGGCTGGGTGAAGAGTTCACAGAAGAAGCAGTGCAGAACCGGTCACTGTGTATCTGTCTATAAGATCTATTGTTCATTTGTTCTGATTTAGGCTATTATTTTTCCACCAGGGCTACCTGTCTACAAGATCTATAGCTATCTGTTCTAGGGTTAGTGCTTTCCCACAGAGACCAAGACTTTGTGTCAGTAGACACGTATGGCTGACTTAGGCCTATGGCTGACTTAGGCCATTAATGTTTAAGCAGGGTCGCTTCCAACACTGGCTTTTATTCCAGAGGACCTGGGTTCAATTCCCAGTGCCTACAACCAACTGTAACTCTAGTCTCCAGGAATATGATGCCTTCTTCTGAACTCTGCAGGCAACACATCCATGTGATACACAAAGTTATATTCAGGCAAGACACTCATACACATAAGAGAAGCAAAAACTGGGGAAAATTGTTCTTAAGTAAATCTTTGGTGGTGTTCTTTTTTTCTTCTAGACCCACCTATCTACATATACACATACCACATTTCTCTCTGAAGACTTTCTGAAATAGAGAAGTCAGAGAGGTCAAGAGGTCACAGCCCTTGGTGTCCTTCCTGTGCCTATCCTAGAGTAGGTGCCTCTTTGGAGATAGGACTCAAAGAGCCAAACGTAGCAGCCTTGCTTCTCCTGGGATTACCTCCTGGGACTAACCTGGGGTCTGGTAGAGTAGAAAATCTATCCATCCCGTGAGTCTCCTCCTCCTGTACCTTCTAGAAGCTAGCTGGAGAAGATACCTCTTGGTAGCCTGCCCTTACCTGTGTCTGCCAGGATCTGTGTTTGACTCGGGCCTCTTTGCCTCCCTAGTTCATCAGTTTGCATGAGAGCGGCCAGAGCGACACAGAGAACGTGAGTGAGCACACTGTCGCGGAGCTGTGGCTGCAGCACAGCCTGCAGTGCCACTGTCTCTCAGCCCAGCTCCGGCCTCTGCTCGGGGACAGACAGTACATTAGAAAATTCTACACAGGTAAGTAGAGGCCACATGGGCCTTTGCATTAGTTCCATGTTATCTCCCATCTCTCTCCTCCTCTGTAGAGTACTTCTGAAGCCAGCCTCTCCTAATTTTCACTTGATGCCATAGACTCTACTGAGAAACACACAGCCAGTCTTCCTCTCACCTCCCATGAAGCACACCCATGCTAAGGTGTCCTGTGCTCCTCCATGCAGACTGTAAGAAAAAAGGCCACGAGCTGAGTGTTTAATGTGCTGCTCACTGTTAAAAGAGCTGGGCAGTAGGACTGATATTTTCTAAGCAGAGAGCCTAGCTGATGGCCAGAGGCACTCGGGGCCCGGATCCAATTCTGGGCCTTTCTGATTTTGAGACTTCTTATGTTAGACTGCATACAGCTTTTCCTATACTGTACTTGTCCCCGAGTCCCTCCTCTACACAGAGGCATGCTCTTCCTCAGATCCTCTGTATTCTGTCTCCTTCTCTAAGCTTCCCTTCAGCACTGTGGTACCTCTTTTTTTCCTAGAAACTGCCTTCCTGCTGAGTGACGCCCACGTCACAGCCATGCTCCAGTGCCTGGAAGCTGTGGAACAGAACAACCCCCGTCTGCTGGCTCAGATCGACGCGTCCATGGTAACAGGGGTGAAGAATCGCCCATGTCTGTCCCAGGCCTCTCCATTTCACCATGATGTACACTCCACAGTCACTCATGACTTCCTCACTGAGGCGGCTGTGAGCTGACAGGCTTAGTTTTAAAATGCTTGGAAAGAGCGGGTGTGGTGGTCTGTGACTGTTGTCAAAGAGCGGGTGTGGTGGTATGTGACTGTTGTCTTGGTCTGCTGTCCATTGCTATAACAAACATCTAGACCTAGAGTATCTCGGGGGAGGAAAGAGCTTATTTGGGTTGTACACCCTGAGTGACAGTCCCCTGAGACAGGAACTCGAGGCCAGAGCTGATGCAGAGGCCATGGAAGGGTGCTGCTGGCTCCCTCCTCATGCCTTGCTTGGCCTGTTGTGTTTTTTGTTTTGTTTTTGTTTTTTTCTTCATTCCAACTGCAGTTTCCCCTCCACCTTCTCTCTCCCCCAGATCTGCCTCACCTTAGAAAGGAGCAGGCCTCCCAGGGATGTCAGTCAAACCAAGCATAACAAGCTACAGAAGCAGACAGAGTCAGAGACGGCCCCCTCTCCACTGTAGGGATCCTAGAACACTAAGCTACACAACCATAACTTGTAGACTTGCCTGCTGGCCAACCTGATGGAGGCATTTTTCTCCACGGAGGTTCCCTCCACCTGATTAACTAATTGTGTCAAGTTGGCCGACACCGTAGCACTGGGGAGGTTGAGGCAGAAGGGTCAGCATTTGAGGCCAGCCTGCACTATATAAGTTCCAAGCTCTGAGAGCTGATCTTAATAATAAAAAGAGGGGAGAGGGAGGGTGAGGGGCCTAGAAGAGGATGGAAGGGAAGGAAACAAAACTCCCTACCCCATTGTTAACATTTCAATCCAAACACCTTGTAGAGTGGAGGTCTCCTGTCTCTCCTGGTTGTATAACGTCGACTGTGGTCACCATCCACAGAACACTCCCCTTGTGCCAGGCTTGCTCAGTACTTCACAGTACTCGCTGTCTTATTTAATCCTTGTGACTCTGGGAGGAAGACATTATCTCTTTATAAAGAAAGTCACTCAAGGGTTGGGGAGATGGCTCAGTGGGTTAAAGTGCTTGTTACAAAAGCAGGAGGGCCTCAGTTCAGATTCGCAGAAGCCGTGCACAGCCACGCATGGAGGTGTGCATATCTGACTGCAGCAGTGGGGATTGCCAGCCCGTTAGTCTAGGCAGTGACTCTCAACCTTCTGAATACCAAGACCATTTACTCCACTTCATAGCGTGGTGAACCCAACCATAAAATTATTTCTGTTGCTACTTCAAACCTGTGATTTTGCTGCTGTTACGAATCAGAATTTAAGTGTCTCTGTTTTCCAGTGGTCTTAGGTGACCTCTACAAAAGGGTCATTTGATGCCCCCAAAGGGCCCACAGGTTGAGAACCACTGCTCTAGCCTAACTGGAAACCTCAGGTTCAGTGAGAGAGCCTGTCTCAAAAAGGTGGTGGATGATAGAGGAGGACACGCAGTAGTGACCTCTGGCTTCCACATGTTTGTGCACAGGTGAACATGTGTACATAAGAACGTATGACCTACCACAGAAGAAGAAAGTAAGAAAAGAAGTTGAGTCACTAAGGGCCAGGACCAGGCCTGACTCACTGTCGTAATCCCAGCTCCTGGCTGGCTAAGAGGCAGGGATTGACACAAGCTTGAAGGCAGGATAGTTTGAGCTACATCATCACGAGTACCAGGTCAGCCAAGGTGACATAGCAAGGCCCTGTCTAAAAAAGAAAAAGAGGCCCTAAAGCACACACTTGTCTTCTCACCCAGAGCCTAGGTCAGATGCTTATAAGTGATGTGCATGGCTTAGACCACCAGTCTATCTGACTTCTGATTCCACATGCATAATTCTGGCATGTATTTATGTGTGGTGTACATACATGTTTGTCTGCCTGTTCCCAGGTGTGTGGGTATACTAGTGCATGCAGGTGCACATGCATTTGTGTGTCTGTATCTATGTGTGGAGACCAGAGACTGGTGTTGAGTGCTCTCTAGCTTATGTATTGAGGCAGGGTCTCTAGATGAACCTGGGGTTTGTTGATACAGTTAATAATATAACTAGTAGCCAGCTTGCTCCTGAGACCCTCTGCTTCCCATGCAGGCTGTCATGCCCACCTGGATTTTACACTGGAGTTGGGGATATGAACTCCCATCCTCACACTTGCAGAGCAAGGAACCTATACTCCTGCACCACCTTCCCAGGCTTAAGTTCACTGTTGCACTGCTTACAGGGGAAAATACACTAGGATTCCAGTGCAGAAGCTGTGGCTACAGCAGCACTTCACAGTGTCCGTGTCGTCTACTGGGTAGAACGTAGCTACGGTCCAGGTGCACTGCCACAGACTGGCCTCTGTCAGCATTTCTGCAGTGATGACTGTGTCTCCTCCGAGGTCTTGTGCTCCACTCTGAAATGGTTTTTGTTTGTTTTGTTTTAGTTTGCCAGAAAGCAGGAGAGCCCACTGCTGGTCACAAAGAGCCAGAGTCTGACTGCTCTGCCTGGCTCCACATACACCCCTCCAGCCAGCTATGCTCAGCACTCCTACTTCGGGTCCTCCTCCAGCCTTCAGTCCATGCCGCAGTCCATGCTGCAGTCCAGCCACAGCTCAGGTATGCGGCCATGTGATTGCTGCATGTATTTTAGGCCTGGGAAGTACAGGACTTCTGGGAGTGCTCACAGGCCAAAACCTACCTTCCTTTTTTTAACCTCTTCCTTCCTTCCTTCCTTCCTTCCTTCCTTCCTTCCTTCCTTCCTTCCTTCTTCCCCCCTTCTTCCCCTTCTTCCCTCCCTCCCTCTCTCCCTTCCTTCCTTTTCTCTTTCATTCATTTGTTCATTCTGTTTACTGAGGTAGAGTTTTACTTTGTAGCCTAGGCTGGCCTTGAAAGTGTAGGTTGTTGTAGGGGTGGGAATGGGCAGTCCTTATACGTATCTTCATGTGTCTGGAAAGCAGCTTTTGAGAGTGATTACGGGCTGGGAATCTAGGCTTGGATTGGTATAAGTCGTCAAACTTCACGTCTTGTGATAGGCCATAAAAAGGTGTGCAGCAGCAGTTGCCTGGTGTAGTGGTAAATAGCTATACTCTGAGCACTCAGAAGACATAAAGGAGAAGGTGGTAACAAGTTCAAGGGTATCCAGGGCCACAGAATGAGACCCTGCCTTACAAAAACAAATGGGAACTTACAGAGCATAATTAGAGGCTTCTGGGCCTCTGCTCCATGTTGCAAATACGGTCTTTAGTTGCAGGCATTTTTTGAGTACCTGTGCCATGCTGGGTTGTGTTAGAATCAATTTGTATGTATTACGTCATTTGATCTGTAGAACAGTCCTGTGTGGTTGCTGTTCTCATGACTTCTCTCACTTTCAGTTGTGTGATTTGTGTGGAGAAGCAGGAAAGCCACTAGGTCAAGTACCCGTGGCCTCACTGTAGCTGCTTCTAAACCGGCTACTTTAGGCTGACCTCTTCTGTGTGACACGTGTCCTGAGCACCCTTCCTGTAGGCCTGTGTATGTACCTTAGAACTCCAGATCTCCTTCTTTCCCCTTACCTTTTCTATATTCCAGAGAGAAGATCTACTTCCTTTTCGCTCTCTAGCCCTCCCTGGCAACCTCAAGAAGACAGAGAATGCCTCTCACCAGCAGAGACTCAAACCACCCAAGCTCCGCTGCCTTCAGACTCCACTCTAGCCCAGGGTTCCCCACAGACCGCACAGGAGATGAGCTCCAGCACTCTGACTAGCCCCCTAGAGGCATCCTGGGTCAGCAGCCAAAATGACTCCCCAAGTGATGTCAGTGAGGGGCCTGAGTACCTGGCCATTGGCAACCCAGACCCTCATGGCCGGACTGCCAGTTGTCAGAGTCACAGCAGCAACGGCGAGAGTAGCAGCTTGCACTTGTTCTCCTCCAGCAGCTCTCAGAAGCCGGATTCTGCTGCTTCTTCTCTAGGGGACCAAGAGGCAGGTAGGCAGAGTCAGGCAGGCAGCGTCCTCCGAAGGTCCAGCTTCTCAGAAGGGCAGACAGCACCTGTCGCCAGCGGGACAAAGAAGAGCCATATTCGCTCCCACTCGGACACCAACATTGCCTCCAGAGGAGCGGCAGGTAAGGATGAGCATCGGCTACTGGAGGGAGGGAGGGCTTGCTCTTAAGGCTTTCAGATGGCAGAGAGAGAAGAAACATCCTGATGACATGATGCTCTGTTCTGTCATGAAAGACATTTATTGTGTAGAACCGAAGAAGCCTGAGTATGTTGTATACTTTCCTTTAAATGAAGCTAAGTACTAAATGCTTCTCTGATTCTTCCATAGTTCCTTAGCATTGGGATAGTATGAGTATCGAAGTTTTAACTGAATTCTTTGACTGAATCTGTGACTTCAGCAGAGTCTTAAAGAGGTTTACAGACAATCCTATTAGATTCCTTCTGTCGTGATCCCTTAGAGGTTTGAACAGGCTATAATACTGACGCAGAGTACTCTTAGTACAACTACCAGGGTTAGTAGTGAGTATGGGTGGGCAGTGTGACCTTGGACCTAGTAGATGGGGTGACTGCTGTCACTAGCCCAGACCGAGGCAGTTCGCCCTGCACCCCCACCCTTGCACAAAGAGAGCTGCTAGCTGGGTGGGGAAGGTGGGTGCGCTGTTCCCGCATCACATTGCCCGTCTTCATGGGCTAACCAGGGTTTGTAGGCTTTGTGTGGGCATCACTTGTGGTAGAACATCCTTACAGTAAGCATGACACTAATTTTTGTGCTCAAAGCCATTAGGGGTCAGCAAAGCCCCAGATACAAAATTAATAAAAATAAAATAGGAAGTATTTAATGAGACATAATGAAGGAGATTTCCTTTGGCAACTGGAGTTTGCCCTTGTCTCTCTGTAATTTCTAGAAAGATGAAAACTCAAGGCCTCAACTAAAACCTGAATAACAAATATTCATCTCTTTTCCTTCAAGGATTTAACATGGCTTGTTTGAACTCCTTAGGAGAAAAATCTCCAAATCAAAGCTTCTTTCCATGAACGTTCTCAATTATAGCGTGTTGGGGTTGGATCTTCAAGTCACATCTACTGGAGCCCTGGTGTCGCTCCACATGAGGGCAGTGGTCTTTGAGCATACAAAACTTCCCTGCTCCCCACATCCCTTTTTTTTTTTTTAATGGAACCCAAGGCCTTATTCCTGCTGGGCAAGAGCTCTACAGAGTGACATTCCCAGCCTCCCTGGCTCCATTCTTGAATCTGTGTGGATTCCAGAAACCATGGTAACCTGCATGGGAAAGGGAGCCAGAAAAATCCTCTGCAGAAGGGTCTGAGCATGGGTCTTGTAGCCTCTTGTCCAAGTTACCCCCCCTTCAGCCCCGGTGTTCCCTTTTGGGAGTTAATGTCACCACTTCTGCCAGGTAAAAGTCATGGGTTGGTGTGGTCTTTTCCCTTTTCTCTAATCCTGTTGTTGTGTCTGGATTCTCCTCTGTCCCTCTTTACCTGCAGGAGGCCCCAGGAATATCACCATTATAGTTGAAGACCCCATTGCAGGTTTGGGAGCCCCCCCCCTTCGTTCTTCTGTTCCTCTGTGACCACCTCGCTTAGTTCAAAACCTTTTCCATTCCAGTCTGGTGTCAAATCAAGTCTGCCTGGTTTGATCCTATTGTGGTGCTGGGACCTACCTATAAGAGGATACTGCTAGTTCACATGATACATGTCATGCCCTAAACATGCTTCCAAATGCCCTAGTCATTCTACCAATAGCTTCTGGAAACCATAGTCAAGATAAAGCAATTCCACTTTGCCCAAGGGTGAAACAGAGGCCTGCTGTTTGACTAAGGCCTCATGATGGGGCAGTGGCAGGGCGCATTTTAACTGAAGACTGACTGTGGATTATTTCCCTTGACTTAACACCAGAATATGTATTATTCCTTGTATGCTTGCATGGGTCTTGTCTGATCCAGAGTCCCTGTTTCCTTTTCCTTCACCGGTCTTCATCCCCTTGTGTGCCTGCATACCCCATGCTAGTCATGGAACGTTTTCTAGTAATTCTGTCCTTCTCCTCTTTCCCTCTCATCTGAGTACTATAATGATGGAGTTATTAATGTCTGGGTGTGTTAGTAAAACAGTGGCGAGGGAGGACCAGGAGCTAACACCTGCTAGTAATGGAGAGGTCACTGGTGTGTTATTTTGGATAAGGGAAAGTTAAAGAAGAAAGTCTGCAGGTCCCTATGGAGAAGAAACTGCCAGAAAACAGATTGTGAGTGAGCAAAAGGAAGTACTGAGTCAGTTGAATGGGTGCCCTTAGGAGGTGGGGACTCAGGACAGAGACCCAGTGGCTTACAGAGCCAAAGACACTGGAATGGTGTTGCAGGTTATGTGGTATGCCATCTGGCTAGGCAACAAACCATCTCTTCTGCATCTCTTCTGTTGTTTCTTATCAAAGTACTGTGGTGATTGCTGGCTTTTCTTTATTTTATTTTATTTTATTTTAATTTTATTTAATTTAATTTTATTTTATTTTATATTATTTAGTTGGTTTTTCGAGACAGGGTTTCTCTGTGTAGCCCTGTCTGTCCTGGAGCTCACTCTGTAGACCAGGCTGGCCTCGAACTCAGAAATCCGCCTACCTCTGCCTCCCAAGTGCTGGGATTAAAGGCGTGCGCCACCACCGCCCGGCAGCTGGCTTTTCTTTAGTTCAGTAGACAGAAGCAGAGCCTACTGCCAGACCCTCAAGAAGGATACAAAATTACTGTGTGTGCGTGTGCATGTGCGCATATGTGTGTGTGTGCGTAGCATCTGAAACCTTGGCATTATTAGTCAGGGAAAACAGTTGAATGTGATTTAATCCTCTTCTCTTCCAGAGCATGCTGCTCACATCTCAGGCGTCCACACTGGACATTTTGTTTATTTGTTTGTTTTTGAGACAGGGTTTCTCTATGTAGCCCTGGCTGTCCTGGAATTCAGTGTGTAGACCAGGCTGGCCTCAAACTCAGAGATTCTCTACCTGCCACTGTCTCCAGAGTGTTGGGATTAAAGGCATTCACCACCACCTGACTGACAATTTTTAATTTACTTTTGAATACCAGTTTCTTATATCGTACGAGACCTTTACCAACCTCCTTGTTTGTGAGACATTTTTCTTCATAGTCCATGCTGGACTTGAATTCACTATGTCACCGGTCCTGGCCCCAAAACACATTGTGTTCCTCTTTACAAGTGCTAAGATTGCAGCCATGTGTCAGCATGCTCAATGTCCACCTTCTCTTGAAGCTTCTCCTTCGCTCTGCTGACTAAATCCTCTGCTTTTGAAGCCGTCATCTTTGACTTCTCCAGAATTGACTTGATGTTGCTTTTAAGTATTTTCCTGAGTTTCATTTTTATTACAGAAGATAAATTTTCTGATACTGTTTTAAAACATAGTATCAATGTACTGGAAAAGTTCGATACTCCTAGTTTTGATTTTACCACCTGAAAACTGTCTTTTAAAGGAGTCTGTCAAGAGGTTAGTAATTATAGGCACTTTTGTCACACTGGTTTAAAAGACAGAGGAGAAGGAGACTAGAAGCCATTTTGATTTGTTTTTACCTTGGTGTCGCCTGGACTCTTTCCCCTTAGACACACTAGCATCTCATCTCCTCCATGTGTTCTGTGTTCTCGGACTGTTGCGAAGGCTTTGGGAATGAGAGGGTTAAATGTTGTATCTGTTGCTCACTTGTATGTGTGCTGTATTTCCCACTATGGTCACGGACACTAGACTCCACAATGATGAGGTGAATTTGAGAGAGCCCTTCCCTCCTCTGGCCAGAGCAGTGCAGTCAGCGCCCCAGCTCTCTGTGTGGAGAACAGTGATTGAGCACTTGGAAGGCACAGGCTGAGACTCTCCTGCTCTGCTCTCTCCTTGAGCCTGCTGAGCACTTGAGGGGCCTGTGGAGGACACTGTGCTCTCTCACTCGAGCCTGTCCTTCTGCCATCTTCAGCACTGTGACTCCACTCCCTGTGGTCCCCACACTCTCTTATGCTCTGGGTACCACCACATGTATCTATAGAACCACAGGTGACAACAACCTGAGTGAGCGAGAGCCTTGACTGTGGGTCTTTGTGTAATTCCCAGGAGACAAGATCCACGTGGGACTCACTCACAGGTGGAAGGGAGCAGTTATGTCTTTTCGCTGCACTCAGCACTGAGTTAGTTCTCTTTTCGGTGGAGTAGGAAGGACAGTTTACTGTGGATAAATTTAGGTAGTAAAAGGGTTATCTCTAGGATCTCACATTTATTCCACCATTCTCCTTCCAAGAGGTTTGGTGCTCTGGGACTCTTAAAGAGTCTAAATAATGTCATTGAAGATCGATGTCTTTTATCCAATTCCTTCTTCCCTGGGAAGAGTTGAGAGCACCTTTAATAGTAAGATCATCAGACTTCTTGAAGAAGCATGGTTGTTACAAGTTTTTGTTTCAAGACTGAAATTTTATATCCACACTTCAATTCCCACAGAGGGTGGTCAGTACCTCTGCTCTGGAGAAGGCATGTTTAGAAGACCATCAGAAGGACAGTCCCTCATCAGTTACCTCTCTGAGCAAGACTTTGGCAGCTGCGCAGACCTGGAAAAGGTGAGGCCACTTGGAGGGGCAGTTGAGGAGCTCGTGCAGTGTGGGATCTGGCTGGATGGGAGCTCATGCAGTGTGGGATCTGGCCGGATGGGAGCTCATGCAGTGTGGGATCTGGCCCGATGGGAGCTCGTG